GAATTTTGAATTTGGAGCAACGCTCCAAAGATAAAGTGAAATTTTGCAGGTATATGTAAGCGCGCAAAATTTCATTTTGAATTATGAGATGCACGGTGATTAACCACGAATTTCTAACCACGAGTTTCTTCCTTAGGCTAAAATTGAATATAAACAATATCATAATAATGAAATAGAATACCAAACTCGATATAAATATATTATCAAATCATTATATGCAATCACGGAACACTATAGATTCTAAAAACCTAGACAACACAACACAGTAGCCATTAATGGTTGAAGAAATACATAGAAACATAACAGGAGAAAAAAAATGAGCTTATAACAGAAGTGAAATGCTATCCAAAAATGTATCTGAAATACTTATAGAGCCTACAAAATACACATTTGAATAATACTAATCCAATTTAGAATTTTGCAGTTAGGATTAGAATAGTTTTTTTTTATGGGAAAGGATTAGAATAGTTTTAGATATAATATTTATAGGCATGCATATAGTAAATAAAATATATGTGCTAATAAGATCTTTCAAAATTGTAGTTTTGCTTCAAAAATTCACACCGTCTATTCGATTGGATGGTGAAATGACGAACTCTGCGAAACGAATTGATTACGAAGATAGTCAATCCAACCATATGACTATCAAACGAAAATTACATGGCGTGAAACCTCTCCAACATAATAGAGGGAGAAACTTGCATCGAGGATAATATTATTTATATATATTGTTTAAAGTGAATCAGATGCCGCCTACGACTGCTTTGCACGACCTACTACTATACAAAATACATAACGCATCTCAACCACGATCGATTCGTGTCACCCGCGGCCTAACTAGACTGTTGGTTGCTCGACATATTATGCTTTCCGAGTCTGACTTGGCGACAATGAATTTTGCTTGGTGGACTAGCAATATTACTTATTATCCTTCAATATTATCTTCCATATTCTGGCGCGTTATCGAGGTTATGTGACCTGTTCGTCTGTCGATATCAATTTTGACTTCAAAATGACTGGTTCAAAACCACAAGAAATGGTCAATCAATCACGTAGTAATATAGTCGTCCCATTCGCCGGCTGACTTGGCAATGCAAATGGACGTGTGGGTTCCTTGAGAAGGAAGCTAGCTAGGTCCGAGTCCAACTCCAAAGTGAACTTTAAGCGGCGCAGCCGTTGTTGGCCACCGGGCGCGCGTTAGGTAGGTCGCCGACGACTCTCCGTCGTCGACTACCCAAGCCAGCAATCCACTTCCAATTGACAATTATTATGAACCGGAAAAATCCTGATGTGAAGAATCTGACTATTCCTGTATTTCGCTTCAATCATTCAGACGTTATTTTTTTTTTATAGCAAAATAAGAATATTCACAAAATGTGTTCATTTAAAATATTCCTAACAGTTGATAAGGAGAATATCCACAACAATCGTTATGAATATTCACAATGCATGTTAAACGATGATTATATATATTAGGTTAAGCAACGACTAAGAGTGAGGAAGGTCGAGCGCAAAAATGCAGAATATTGTTGAATAGCATATATATAAAGGTAAAATTACTTAATAATTGAAAATAATTATGTGATTTTATAATTATTAGTAAATTATTTGAGGCATAATCCCACCTCGATTCATCAAAATGGATAAACCTAGCTTCATTTTCGTGGAATTCATATTTTATAATTGCGAAATGAATTGAATTCCAAAACGATTTCCTCAATATCATACTACTTACTGCATAGTACTGTTTACTGTTTAGTGATCAGTGAAATGACAATCTGACTTATCGGCTGTCAACACTAATTACCCTGCTCCTAAGAACGACAAGCCCTAATTAAAACAGCAATTAAGTTATTATTAATTACACTTTATGACAACTTCTTCATTCACCTCTTTGCCTAACGGCTAACGGCTAACACTAATGACAGGGGAATCTTGTAACGGCATAGTTTTCACCAAACCCTTTCCAAAAAGGGAATTCACTTCCTTGGTTTCTAGTAGGGTGAAAAAGGAAATGCAGTAAATGACAACGAGGAAGGAAGCGAAAGGGGCTCCAGGGGCTCAAGATAGGGTGCATAACCATGGGTTATGCACTCATCAATAACCAAATCTGGACCCTTTATTTAGAAAATTCAGATCTAAGGATGGAGAATTAAAGGTTATTTTTATTTTCACTAGTTTTCTTAATTGACTCATATCTTTTTCGTTTTAACTCGGATTTTAATTTTTTTTTGCACAGATGGAACGAGTTCACCGTGCTCTACAAAATGAGATCAATTTTCAATATTTTTTTAGGAAAAAAAAATTCCGACCTCTCGGTACCAACTGCATACCATATGGTATCTTCTTCGTTTTTAATTCGTTTTTGAAAACGTTTGCACAGCAGGGATGAGTTCATCAAGATCTACTGGATCTACAAATTTCTGGGTGAACAAATTACAGGACCAAAACATATCACACAATACCATACAATACCACCCTGGTACGGGGTGGTATTGTATGGTACCTTCTTCGTTTTTAATTCGTTTTTGAAAACGTTTGCACAGAAGGGATGCGTTCATCATGATCTATTGGATCTAAAAATTTCTGGGTGAACAAATTACAGGACCAAAAAATACCACACAATACCATACAATACCACCCTGGTACGGGGTGGTATTGTGTGGTATACAATGTTAAAAGTCGTAAATTACAATTAATATACTTCTACTATCATGTATTCAACTATCCTACAGTATTGGTTTGTTCATACAACCATGGTACGTTTTTCAAAACATAGGTATGCTTTTATTTCAATACCAGTCAATACCATATGGTATAGGCTGGTAAAAAATGGCTCAATTTTTTTTGTTCGAAAAATATATTAAAGTGGATATCATTTTGAAGAGCACAATTAATCTGATCTAACTGTGCAAAAAAAATTAAATTTCGACTTAAAATGAGCGAGAAATCGTCCGTCAAAGATTAAAGAGGGAAAAATTAAATGCTTTCCATGAGAGAGAGGATGCTGATGTCATGTTGATGTGGACGGGTTACTCATGGTTACTCACCATAAGGTTACTGACCTGATTCATTCCGGCTCCAGGGTTACCCATAACTAAATATGGACTTTTGATTTAGAAAATTCATATATAATAGGGAAGAATTAAATGTAGTTTTATTTTTTTCTTGTTTTTTTAATTGGTTTATATCTTCTTCGTTTTAATTCGGATTTCAATTTTTTATACTTATAGAACAAGTTTGTTATGCTCTACAAAATGAGATCCATTTTCAATATTTTTTGAGAAAAAATTATTGCCTCTCGTTACCAACTGCATTCCACATGGTATCTTCTTCGTTTTAAGTAGTTTTTGAAAAAATTTGCACAGAAGAAACGAGTTCATCATGATCTATTGTATCTAAAAAATTTTGGGTGAACAAAATACAGGACCAAAAAATACCGCATAGTATCACCTTGATACGAGGTGGTATATTGTGGTACATAATGTTAAAAGTCGTCATGACAGTTAGTATACTCATGATCATGTATTCAACCATCATACAGTCTTGATATGTTCATACCATCATGGTACTCTTTTCATACCATATGATATGCTCTTATTTCAATACTAGTCAATACCATATGGTATAGACAAGTAAAAAATGGCTCAATTTTTTTTTGTTAAAAAAATATATCAAAGTGAATATCATTTTGAAAAGCACAATTAATCTGATCTAACTTGCAAAAAAAAATTACGACTTAAAACGAGTGAGAAATCGTCCGCTAAAGATTTGGTGGGGGGGGGGGGGGAATTAAAGGCTTTACAGGAGAGAGAAGGAGCTAATGTGGCAGATGGTGATTGGGTTATGCATGGTTACTCATCACAAGGTTACCGACCATATCCGTTCCCAACGAATGGAAAAGAGAATCTGGTAGAAACTTTCGAGATATAAATTGAACTTGTACTATAACGTTAAAGTTACATGTTTAGTTTGTAGCATACAAAACTTTGTACTTTTATGTTATAGTTTTAATTTGTACCATAAAATTTGTACAAAAAAGGTATATGAACAAATTCAATTTGTATCATAATTTAAAGGGTTAGTAGAATTTTGTACCCCTCTACTTTTGCAAATTAACAAACGTGCCCCTCTACTAAATTTTTGCACGAACATACCTTGTATTACTAAAACGTAACAAATTCACCCTTCCGTCTAATTATCTGTTAAGTGACCGTTAAATGGGCTAGGAAATGACCAAATTGCCCTTCATTTAATTTTGTATTATAAAATGCTATTAACCCTAATTTAAAAGGCACAATTCAACTTGTATTATAAAGTTTTTTAAAACTAAAGCATTGTAAAAGCTAACAACTACTGATCATTCAATTTACGACGATATTTCTACTCCAGTACTCCCTTCAAACAATACAGGTTTACAAGTATGACGAATTGCGAAATCCTTCATGATATTAAATTTGATATGGCCAATCGTTCAAACTATAAGAGTTACAATAATTTTAAAAAATTGTTGCAACATCGTAATAAAACGATACTAGTTTGATCTCCGTACAACTTACCGTTATGGACTTACGATACGATATCACAAAGGCTAGTAATCGATCGAATGTTAATGTACAGTTCATAAATCACGAGGACCCAAAACACCTATTAAATATCGAGTCACAAGCACCCGCTCCCGTAGTACCGTTGTGGTACAGTAACCCTAACTCGAAGTTTTTCTTCCATGATTGCCTTGCTTTGTACAGATGGCTCCAGCTACACCCGCCCGCATATTAACGTCACACGTTCCCTTTACTTTGCGGATATTCCAAATCTACCCCCATGGAAAGCCATAAATCCCCTTCCCTGCCCCTGTGCCAGTCTGCCGCCCGTCTACAGCAATATAACTGCCCATCCCCAGGCCCTATTTCGCCCAAGTTCTCCTTCCTCGCATAAAACCCAACAAAAATTCCAAGCAAGAAGAAGAAAATTTCCCAATTTGCGAGAGAAATCACAAGATGGGGAGGAATGACGGAGAAGAAGTCGGAATTAGAGGTGGCGAAGGCATAACCGCAGCAAGCAGTCTCGCCGGCGACAGTGTTACCGGCGGTGGAGGAGAAGCGAGGAGGAGGAAGAGGAGATCGGGTTTGGGGTTTTTCAGGAGGCTGAAGTTGGACAAGGAGTCGCTTCGGTGGAGGTGGAAGTTCTTGACCTCTGCTTTCAAGTGGAAGCGCGTCAATTTGCAGATATCGCTCGTCGACGACGTCCTCTTCAAGATCGCATCTGTTCTCGAGGCGATTGTGTTGGTGGCCACCTTGTCTTTCTTCTACCTCTGTTGCGGCTGCCACTTTTGATCATCGATTTTCAAGAACAGGGGAGAAGAAAGAACCGGAAAATTGGAGCTGCCTCTCAAGATTCGAGCTTTTTGTTTTCTTTTTTACGGGGATGGAAATATGGATTCTTATTCTTTTCTTCTTCTAATTTTTTGATAATTGTATAATTGCATTGTATAGTCCTTCATCGAGCCGTAGAATTAGAACTCCATTTTTTTTTCTTTCCTCGTTTCCCCCCTTCTCTGTTTTGCTTCCCCGCCGGCCAATCATTGACCGTTGCGGGCTGCCACCGCCGTCAGCAATTTATCTTTGATCTGTACCCAATTTGCAAACTTAACATTCTCACATCTGGGTTTTCAGTTCCTTTTCTTTTTCTCCTTCTGTATCTTTTCTCCCCCAATTCACCTGGTCCCCGCTGGCCAATCATTGACCGTTGCGGGCTGCCACCGCCGTCAGCGATTTATCTTTGATCTGTACCCAATTTGCAAGCTTAACATTCTCACATCTGGGTTTTCAGTTCCTTTTCTCCTTCCTCTGTATCTTTTCTCCCCCAATTCACCTGGTCTCTGCCTCTGGGTTTGGTTTACACTTCACAGGGGAGTCCAGAAACAGGGGATTCTTTCCAATTGCTTACGTAATTTGATCGTTTCAGTTTGCACTTTGTTGAAGCTTTCTTCGTGCTCTGTAATTGTTAAAGAGGGGCCCAAGGGGAAAAGCCGCAAGCAAACGGCCAAAAGAATGAGTGGGGAAAGGGAGAATAAACAAGTGGGGAAAGCTAACGGAAGAGGACCGGAATTTTCGCCAGGAAGAGTTCTTTCTGCTTGGTGGCAACCTACTGGAACGTTTATCAGCTGCCAGGCCAGGGGAATAATAATAATCTACCTTCGAGAAAGAGGCTAAAAGATGGAGGGGACGACGTAAAACAGTTGGACTCATTAGCTGGTTTCCTTGCGCTCTGGAATGAGTTGTGTTGCTTTAACCTTTTTCCCCCTTTGATGTTGCTCTTTGGCGGAATATGTTGTTATATATGTAGGTGTAGGAGTCGAGTTGTACCCAATTTGAATTCGGCTCATTAATAAACGAGTTAAGCTTGATTTCGGCTTGTTTATTAACGAGTTGAGCCGAGTTTGAGCTAGTTTGGTTATTAAAATCTTGACTCGTGTTCAAGCTTAGCTCAAGCTCGGCTCGTTAGTAAACAAGTCGAGTTTGGAACGAGTTTTTCCCGAGTCGAACACCGAGCCGCTCACGAGCAGCTCGACTCATTTGCAGCCCTATATAGGTGTAACCACGTGGTTTAGAGTTACAATTCATTTCCCTCGATTACTATCCTAAGAGGCAAGTTCATATAAATCTCCTTTTCTAAGTTAACGTTCAGAAAAACATTGCTGACGTCCATTTGACGCAAGTATCAAGACTTGATAGCCGCTCCTTTTCTTATCACAAACATAGTATTAAGCACAAATCAGACTAATATACTCTCGCTAGGGAAGGGTATATATGAGGTCCTCCATCTATGAGAACCTCTTTTTGTGGAAGAACACGAAGAAGTCCTTCATATTTCTGTAGACTTTCGAACCTTCTGCTCCTTTGTCGTCTTTCATTCCTTCACATGCACTGTTAGTTGATTGAGTGGAAAGGGTGTAAAACTGGTTTCTCCTTTTTTTGAGCACTTTGGATGGGTTTGAACTTACTATTCATATCCATAATCCAAATGCCTAGTGTAAGATTCTTTTGTGTTTTGTGACATCACATCCATTGTCCAAATGCCTAGTGACAATAATCGGTTTTCAGGAAGTGTGTTCTTCTACAATTGACATTTGGATTATGAATACTAAATTTAATTTGGATAAAGCACCGAAAAAATAAGTTGAACCCTTCTTTCATAGCTCGATATAGTGCATTCACTCTCCACCCCTAAAATTTTAGGGGTTTTTTCTCAATCAAAGGTCTACATGCCTCTATCTATAGTGTGTCCATGGAGTAGACCTCCTTTGGAAGTTAGGAATTTGATATCTCGTTGTGGAATCATGTTCCAATAAGTCTATCGAGTTGGTTGATCACCGTAAAGATTACATTTATTCCCACTCCATTCTCTTTGAAATGAGCTGTCTAAAAAACAAAAGTCTTGAAATCTAGTACACTTATAACCGCTATTAGATCACTAAATAATAGTCACTTAGGGAATAATGTTGCAATATAATTTGTGGGTCGATTAAGCTCTGTGGATCTAGTAACCTTTCGCCTATTTATGGATTTCATTATCCATCACATGAACTAGTTCTTATGCACTATGTCAACTACTTATAAAGTACTTCGACCAAGCATAGATTTGGATATCGTCTATGAGTTATATTAAGTACCTTTATCACAAATAGAGAACAGAAAACAAATGGGGTCATTTGCATCCAGGTTTTTAATTTGTGGCTTTTGGCTCAAATCACTAGTTTAAAAACCTAGGTTTTTAATTTGTAAAATTTGTGTGGAATTTTAGGAAAATCACACGTTTGGGAACAGATGTGGCATTTATAAAATGAGAATGCACAATTACATAATTTACCTTCTCTATTTATTTGTACAAGAGCTCAAATTTGGTCGCGCACTGCTGTTATTTCTTCTCCCTCGACCACTCCTGGGGTTTCTTCTCACCATTGTCGATCCTTTCCTTTGCTGCGCTCTAGAGGATAGCAACTGCCGCCATTCGTCGGTCACAACATCATCGTTGGTAGGGCGTCGTTCTTCATCCGCCATCTCTAAACATGTTGTGAGATAGGTTATTCAGAATGGCTCGTGTTGAAGGGACACTTGGGTTGAGATAGGTTATTTAGAATGTAATCCTATTTGATCAAGGTTGTTGTGTTAGGATGGTTTTGGTTGTGTGAGCATGTTGTGTTAGGATTGCTTGGTTGTTGTGTTAGGATGGATATGGTTGTATGGGGAATGTAAGCTTGTTTGCTCGCAACATGTTGTGTGTGGCTGTCGTAATAGGATTGCTAGTGTAATGATTGAAGATATTGAAATATGAATAAATATGCAGAGTTTGTTGAAGCTAGAATGTAGTCGCAGACTAATTGAAATCATATACAGTAGGTTCTGCGGAATGTGATTGCAAACGGATTGAAATCATAAAATTGAAGATTGATTGAAATCATATAACATGAAAGGTTGGTTCTGCATAATGTAATTGCAGACTGATTGAAATCATATGCAGTAGGTTCTGCAGAATGTGATTGCGGACTGATTGAAATCATAAAATTGCAGACTGATTGAAATCATATAACATCAAAGGTTGGTTTTGTAGAATATAATTGCAGACAGATTCAAATCATATCCAGTTGCAGAGTTTAGAACATAAAATATCAAATGCAGTACAACTTCAAGCTAAGAAAAATGTTCTGACATGCATAAAAAAAGAGTAAGTAATCCCCAAAAAAAGGCTCCATGTCCGAGTTGAGATCAAAACAACCCCTACTAATCCCTTAAAAACACCATGTTCGAGTTGACATCACAAATACCAAGCACTAATAATCCCCAAAAAAGCTTACATACAAGCTGGGATTACTAACTCTTCTCCCTACATTCAACCAATCAACCTTTTCACGAACATCAGCTTGTCCAAAACGTCTTGTATCTTGTAGAACATCATCAAGTGTCGATCATTGTTCGATAGAACTGTTACTGCATCAATGATCTCTTCTCGGTCCAGCCCTCTAAGTTGCTCCAAGCTCTCAAATAGATTATCTCGCGTGCTGATGAGATCATCACTCTCTCCAAGTGCTCTAGCAATTGTATCCACAGATTGTTTAATCAAAGGGCGAAGATCTCTCATTTCTCTAGTCACATCGGTGAGGCGTTCTTCAATAGTCATTCCTTTTTTCTTTTTCTTCTTCGGTGGACCACCATCTGTTGAAGCTGGCATGCTTGCGAGGAGCGAAGCAAGTATTCTGAATCAGGAGGGGGGGGGGGGGAATAAAATTTTTAAACAATATGATGATGATGATGATAATAATAATAATATAAAGGAAATTGCTACGGTAACTTGCACTTTTAGGTCGACCTAATCTGCACTTTTAGGTCGACCTTATATAGGATTAGGTCGACCTAATATGCCGTTTTAGTTTTGTGGGGTTCAACGACGCGGTTGACCTCTTTGGGAAGCGAACAGAATGAAAGGTCGATCCAAATACCTCATAGACCGACCATTTTGATTAACTGAGGTTGACCGCATAAGTACAAGGTCGACTGCGTGCACACTGTATCCGTATAGGATAAGGATTCCAACACCAGAAAGGTAACCCTAACTTACCTACCACTTAATTCGACCCATTCTCGTCCTAACTATCTATAAATACGAATATATGTCACCTTCACGGCGACCGAAACTCATGGTTAGATCTTTTGTGAAGAAGACCCTTTGCGGTTGCTGTTGTACATGATTCAAGAGGTCGACCACGTGGAAGTTATGAGTCCTTGTTATCATTATTTATGACTGATTATGTTGGTTTGAAACGTAATTTGTACGAGCAAAAGAACCACCCACATCGGCATACATAAGCAAAAAAATGGTCGACAACAATGACAACTTAAACTACAAACGGTCGACCACTACATTTTAAAGGTCGACCGTGATAAGTCATCAGGGTGCCCACATTAGTGTATTCGGGAACCTCACAAAACTGGAACGGCATATTAGGTCGACCTAATCCTATATGAGGTCGACCTAAAAGTGCAAGTTACGGTGACATGCATGTTACCATAGACATACCCTAATATAAAATATATTATTTATTATCTTAAACGTACACGTCGCTCTTTGAAATCAATGAAATCTCTCAAAATATCATTTAAAGTAAAAGTGTCTACTATATCCCGTTCAATATAAATAATAAGACCATCGGCTAGAAAATCATCATTCATTTTGTTGCGCAATTTGGTCTTCACTAAATTCATGGCAAAAAAAGCTCGTTCACCACTAGCAGTAGAGACTGGAAGAGTCAAAACAAGACGAATCGGCCGATCAACAA